CTTAAGCTACTGCTGACTGACTTAAATATCACCCTCTGTAGGACACGTTTGATAAGCCCACTGATTTTTGCACACCTGAGATGGACAGTTATACCCCCACTGCTTGCTTTCCATCTTGAGTCTCATCTCAAAGACCTCCCCACCACGACTTTTCTGCCTCCCTGCCTTTCTCCTTAGCCTGGAGGACCTTGGCTCAGGCTCAGCCCGGGAAGAGTTAACACCCCCAGGGCAATCCTCTGCCAATGGGCCACAGAAGTTGGTAGATGAATGTCCCAGGCTCCTGCCATTCAGAAGGACAATTCTGAGGTGCATTCCACACAGTTCCTCAGAAGTCCCCAGGGAACTGAGCCTCAGCTGCCCACAGTGGTGACCGGTTCAAATGAACCTTCTCTGTTGGTTTTTTCTCCTTGTCCTGTTTACTCCTCACTCCCACACTCCAGCTTCCAGGAGTCACTCCCAGATAAACTACCTGTCTCAGGCTCTGTTCTTAGGGGAAATCACCTCAGACAACCCTCTCTCCAGGGCACCTTTCCTGGAGGAGGTGCTAACGGGAAGAGACAAACCCAAAAGGTAAGTTCTAGACTAAGCAGAGGGTATGGGAGGGGAGGTAGGAAACAATCACCAAAATCAGAGAGTTGGATAATCCCCTACAGTGCTGCTCCCGTGAAAGGGATGTAAACTGCCCTGTAAGACTTCATCTGTGTAATGTCTGGACCAAGTTCAAGAGAAGGAGCACATGGCTTCCGGGATGAGGGTATTGACAGGTTGCTGATAGCAGGTGAACGATAGGCGTGCATTGCTCGGGCCCTGACAGCACCGTCTGAGCAATGCAAACACTGGTGCACCAGCCACGCTGTGACCTCACCCTCAGCCTCTCAAAGTGGGACAGAAGGAGCAGAGGATTGCTTAGGCAGCTGTCTGGGAAGAGGAACAACCCCAGCATCAACTGCGACATGTAAGCAATGAGGCTGCTGGGAAAGCTTAGAGCATCTAGAGCAAGTCAATGTGGTCACAGTCAAGGAAGGGAGACAAAGGGAGGAATGAGGTCAGCCATTTCCAGAACCCCTCCAAGGGCCTCGGCCCGGGGCTAAGAGTCTGACACGTCCCCTGAGCTTCCCAGGCCACACCTGTCCAGGGTTTAATATGGGCACGGATTGTTCCAAAAGGTAGGCTTGATGACTATTCAGGTCTGATGAGCCAACAGTATCAGGGGAGGACTGCTACAGAGAAGACAGCTTGATACTCACCGTTCCCAAGATGGGGGCGGGGCACACGATGACACACGGGGCCACACAGAGGAGCACCGAGAGGCATCAGGAGGCAGAGGGGTGAGGGGACATGGTGAGCCAGAGCCTCTATTGTGGTTTCCACCAGAAGAAATATGTAGGACAGTGTGACTTCGGTTTAGCGAATTTGAATAATTTCTGTGGGACCTGGGAGGTAGGGGCTGTCCTGATTTGTCTGGTACCTGGCCCTGGGGTGATTCATTGTTCTTGGATTCACCACCACCTAGCCTGGTATGAGGAGAGCTCAGTGTCTGAATAGCAGGGCCGTACTCCTCCTGACTTTGGACTGCCTTCTCTCCAGGGATGCTGCTTATCTCCCCGGGAGGACAGATGACCAGAGGCCTTGAGCGTGTCAGTGAATCTTTAAAGTTTCTTGCAAAGGTCTTTAGTCCTACATTTCCTGGAAGGTAGAAAAATGAACTCTTTTGTCATGATTAAGGTGGTGGCTTTGGAGGTGGCTATTGCTTTTAACCACACTGATGATTCTCCAGGGCTCTGCTCCCAGGGATTACTGAAGTTCATCCACTAAGCAGCCCGATGTGTGTGTGTGTGTGTGTGTGTGTGAGACCTTCCTCCAATGCCCCCAAGAACTCTGAGAGTCAGTCTTTTTTAAAGATTTTATTTATTTATTTATTTGAGAGAGAGAATGAGAGAGAGCACGAGAGGGAAGAGAGTCAGAGGGAGAAGCAGACCCCCTGCTGAGCAGGGAGCCCAATGCAGGACTCGATCCCGGGACTCCAGGATCATGACCTGAGCCAAAGGCAGTCGCTTAACCAACTGAGCCACCCAGGCGCCCCTCTGAGAGTCAGTCTTAGCATTGGCCATTTGTCTAGAACCCCCATATGGGAATCTAAGGCCCCATGAGGTCTCTCACGTGTCAGTTTGCTCCTTCAGGCAGGGGCGCCCTTGGGTTCTGTGGGATCGCCTTTGGAGCCCCTTGGGCCAGGAGGAGAGCAGCGCTCTCTTTAGCTCAATGGCAAGAGCCCGAGCTTGAGGCCATGTGGGTTGACCACACAGTCTTTTCCTCCACCACAGCTTCTTCCTTCTCCTGGGTGCTCAGGTTCTCCTGGTGGGCCTCCTCCCTGAAAATCATCCAGCTATCTCCCGCCCACCGACTCTGACCTGCACGTCCCAGCAGGGAAAGGGCAGACAAGGCAATGGTCAGTTCCTGATCAAGGACACAGGATCCAGAAGCTGTGCCCTCACCACTGTCCTGGAATCTGAGTTCCAGGCTGACATGGGTGACATGGCTGTCAACCAGGTGGGCAGGATGGGATATCAGGCTGGCCAAAGAAGAACAGCGAGGGTCCAGGACACAGGGGGCAGTGAGCCAAATCCATGCCAGAGATGTAAGTGCCACTTCCGGGGACAACTCTTATACCCCAGCCTAAGCTTGGAACGGCAAGTGGGGCTATTCTCACAGTTACTTCGCTTGTCCCCAGAGTCACCTCAGATGACTCGGGTCCCACCCCCTTGCTTTGGGCATGACTTCCTGGCTTGATTTAGCATCCCTGCTCAAGCATGATTCTTACACAACGCAACCATGGTGGGAGACTGTGTCAGTTTCCTATGGCTGCTGTAGCAAAAAACACAAACTTGGTGGCTTAAAGCAGTGCACAGTTCTTCTCTTACTGCTCTGGAGGCCAGACGTCCTTCCCTGGGCTGAAGTCAAAGTGTCGGTAGGGTCGGGCTCCCTCTGGAGGCTCCAGGAGAGAATCAGTTTCTCTGTCTTCTCTAACTTCTGGAGGCTGCCAGCACTCCTTGCCGTCCTTGGCTTGTGGTCCCTTGCTCCATCTTCACAGCCAGGATGGCAGCATCTTCACATCTCCCCCTGCTCCCATCCTTATGACGCTGTCTTCTTCCTCTTCTGCGTCAGATCTTCTCTTTTTTTTTTAAGATTTTATTTTATTTGAGAGAGAGAGAAAGCACGAACCAGGGGAGGAGCAGAGGGAGAGGGACAAGCAGACTCCCTCCCGAGCAGGGAGCCCGACCCAGGGCTCTATCCCAAGACCCTGATATCATGACCTGAGCCGAAGGCAGACACCTAACAGAATGAGCCCCCAGGTGCCCCCTCTCTGCCTGTTTCTTATATGGACATCGCTGAAGGCATTTAGGGCCCACCCAGATAATCCAGGATGATCTCCCCATCTCTAGATCCCTAACTTCATCATATCTGCACAGACCCTTTTTTCCATATAAGGTAACACTCCCAGGATTCTAAGGGATTAGGACCTGGATATCTTTGGGGCCCACTATCCAGCCTGCCACAGAGACATCCCCAGCTCCCTCTCAGGCCTAGCGGGAGGATCAGATGCATGAGAGGACAGGCTAATAAACAGAGGATTGAAATCCGGGTCTTTTCACCTCTGAAGCCCCAGCTTTCCCTACGTGATCATATTGCCCCCCATGAAATGGTAGTGAATTTCTGGATCCCGAGGGTTACAAATTTTCCCAGGATCCTCAAGATGGAAAAAGATTCCTGAGCTCCAGAGCCATTCAGAAGCAAATGCCTGCAGCCTGCATCAAGGATGATGGGGGCAGCTTGGGGCCTCGTCTGGCCGCCGCCCTGGGCCAGCTCAAGGAAACACCCTAAGTCATTCCCAACACCTGGTCAGAGAAGAGAGGGAAGGAAGGGTTCAGGGGGTCACCAGAGCTTCATGATGGCTTTAAAAGCACAACTGGCATCAGTTACCCCACGAGGAGTGGTCAGGAGTATCATTTTCATGGAGGCAGGAAAGTACACTTATTACGTTATAAAAATACCTGTGCTGGCTAAATGCTAGGTCAAATAGTACCATGGCTACGGCTCTGCCCTGACTGTGTCATCACATGTCAATCCTGATTTCATTACTCTCAACGTGCATTCCGTTTAACCCTTTATGTTCTTCCCAGAGATGCAATTTCTCGCCCTCTGTGTGAGCAAAATGAATGCAAGCAATGTCTACCTGGCCATCACTTGGACTTCCCAGCAAATATAAATCCTCTTGTATTTCAGGAGAATTCTTCCTGCTGTTGTCATGTACGCAACAGCAACACAGCTTGACTCGTAAATACTACTACAGAAGATGAATCTCCAAGCAATGCAGAGAAATGTTGGCAATAATATTCCATTTAGAAAGGTTTTGTTTTGTTTTGTTTTTCATCAGACAGGTGTACTTAGCTTTACAGGAGAAATATTCCTAAAGAGTTGGCTATACTGTAAATTTTGGAAAGCAAATCTCATTTTAACATTGATTTCCATTATGTCAGAAATGTTCTCCCAAATCTTTTGGTTTTCCCGCTTAGTTGTGATGACTCTGCAGACTTGGGGAGGGGGTGGGGGGAAAGAGCCTCTTAAGGGCCAGCTGCCTCCCTAGAAAGGCCAGTCTAACAAATAGAGAGCTTCAAGCCCCAAACGTTTGGACTCTGTCCTGTAAACTCCAGTCCATTCCAGCTCAGACGACCTCCGACCCCTCAGCATGAACTTGATGGTGAGGCAGAGAGAGGCAGAGACAGGCCATGGAAAGATGCCAACCCAAGGTGCCTTTTTGCTTCAGGGGAGGATCAGGAGCCTGAGGGGCCCCTGGGGGTGTAATGAAAGCACGCAGAGTTTGGTAATGACTGGACAGCGGCCAGACGCAAGTTTCATTCCCACCGGGCACTCAGCTTCAGGCACGTCAGGTCCATTTCACAAGCCTGTTTCCCCATTTGCAAAAGAAGGGTAGAAATACTTACCCAGCCGGTGGTTGTAAGGGTGAGACATAGTCTAGAACCAGGATCATCAAACTTTTCTGTAAAAGGCCATATGGTCTCTGTCACAAGGCCTCAACTCTGCAGACCTAGCATGAAGACAGTCATAGATGATGTGTTAAGAGTGGGTATGGCTGTGTTCCAATAAAACTTTATTTATGAAACCAGGCAGTTGGTAAATTTGACCTGAGGGCCATAGTTTGCCAGACCCTCCACTAGAACAGCCTGGTACGCAGTCTGGTGAAGGTGCTGGACCTGGCCAGCTTGGCCTCACATCCATTCACAAGCCTTGAGAGAACCTCTACAAACTACAATTCCCATCCTCCTCTGCCTGCTGGCTTCTGGATGGATCTAGCCAATGGGAGGCGTTGGGAATTGGGAACTCTCTGTTGGACCTGCAAATCTGGCAGTGGCTAGTTCCACTAGACAACCCGTCCCTTGACAGCCCCAGCTCCCAGCTCCTGCTAGGTGGGTGCCTCGGCATCAGTCTCCAGCAGCACCATCTCCTCCTCCTGGCTAATCCCCAGGCTGCCTCACTATCCCGTTGGCTTTCCAGCTCTCCTGGCCCCTTTGTTCCCGGTGCTCAATGGCCTCTACTGAACTGCTTGGCTTGAGCGCGTGCATTTCCCTGATTGGACTCTTGACTACAACAGAGAACGGTTAGTTCTCCATAAATGGTGATGTTCTTAATTTATTCATCCTAACACTCTGGATATTTCTAATCTCATGATTTAATATTTCTGCCTACTAGGTGTCCGAAAATAGGTTCTTATATAATTCCTAATAGGCGAAATGCAAAATCTTAGCCACTCAGTCAACAAGCATATACTGAGTACCTGCTGTGTGCCAGGCACTGTTGTAGGCCCCAGGGTGTACAGCTTAATAAATTAGTTGATGACTTTATCCATCACCCAACCCAACCCCTTCATAGTACACACAAGGAAAAAAAAAAAACTCCAAAGATCATCATAGCTAATGTTTGTTGGGACTGTAAATTGTGCCAGGCTCCGATCTAAGGACTTGGCATGAATGACCTTACTTAACACTGCTAACAGCTCACTGAGGTGGGTAGTATTATTACTCCCATTTTAGAGATGACAAAACTAAAGCACAGAGACGTAAGAGAACTTACCCCAAAACAAGTAGCTAGTCAGTGGCGGAACTGGGATTTGAACCCAGGCAGTCTGGCTCTATATCTCAAGCTCCTAATCACAGAGCATAGTGCCTCCTTCCCAAGAGGGTGGAGGATGTGTTCAAGGCCATGGTAAGTGGTACAGTCATGACCAGAGCTAAGTCCTCAAGCTCTAATTACATGTTCCACCCATTAGTGAATTGGCAGCCACTGCTGTAATCATTAACGCAACAGTCATTCCTCTAGAAGAAAGAACAAAAAGCCATTATATGTCTCTTTATAGTCTTTAATACACGTCATAGAAGAATACAAAAGTCAATAAGGAATCTGCTGTATCAGCCATCAACAAACACTTTGCAAAATGTTCAGTCTAACAAACACTGGAAAAAATCATAAAATCAGAATGTTGTAGATGAGGGATCATCTACTTAATTAGTTTTGAAATTTTTTAAGTCTCATAACCCTTTCTTTAAATAAAAGTGTCTAGGGGACCCCAGCATGTAAAACAGTCAACAGATAAAAGGGGACCTGCTCCAGTTAGGGTAAGTAGAAGATGCTAGAAGGCCCCTCTCTCAGTTCTTGTCTCCACTTTCCACAGCCCCTGAGTAGACTCCCCGGAACCCAGTTTAAAAGCCATTGGTGCTAGTTCACCTCAGTCTCTGGTCTCCGAACACCTAAGAAGTGACAGGCGTGACTTCCCCAAGGTCATTCCGGTCAGTCATAGCACAGTCAAGATCAGAGCCCCAGCTCAGAGCCCCGCACCAATCCTCTTTTCAACATCACCACCGTATGCTCTTCTAACTTGGCTTTCTGGGAACTGTGAATACCTTTTGCAGCCAGCAAGTGTCTGTGTCTTTTGAGCCCCTCCACGTGAGCAGCAATAAAAGAAACCCGGATGGCTGGCAGGGGCAGGATGCACAGAGCAGAGCCTCAGCAAACTTGATGGAGCCCGCCTAATTTCTGAGGATCTAACAATCCCCAGCTACATGGTCAAGGCTGCATTGAAATAAATGGAGAAGAAAACAGCTCTCTGATCTACTTGTGGTAATACTCAAAACTGCTCAGCAAGATGCATTTTCCAAGACATCAAAAGCTTGTGTTCCTAGGACCGCTGTGAGTTGGTGATGCACGTCTGCATCCCCAGGCTTGCTGTTCACAGTCGTTTTTTATGGCCTGACAGCGGGGGGCCCCGCAGTGCTGGAGCCAGGAATCAGAGGGTATCTGTGGGCTTCCATGCTGCAGTGGCTTTTACACATTACTTGTGTCTCTGAGGCTTTCCCCTGATGTAACTGACAACCTCCAGTTGCCATTTAGACTTCATGGGGGTTCCCAGATCTCAGCGGGGAGAAAGGAAAGCCCTGGAAACCCCAGCTTTGAAACAGCCCTCTTAGCCTAGGAGACCAATGACGCAGAGACAAACCCTCGACGACTGAGCAGAGCAGGCTGGAAAGAGGAAGCAGAGGTGGTAAACAGGGTCCCCCTCAGCCTTGTTTGCTGCCATCCACATTCCAGTACAGTGGCCACAGCAAGGTCATTGAAGGTCATGGTCGTGAACCAAGAGGGTTTCACCTCCAAAAGCACAATCCAGCTTTCACTTCTGCAACTTCATATCATCTCTTTGTTCAGATTTCCTCTCCTCCTAAATAAATTCTATTACCCAAATTTACTCTCCGCAGACACTAAATGGAGATACATTGTTCCTCTTATGACTCCTTTTCTCCGGATGGTTTATTTTCTTTGCCATTAAGGGCTGGTTGAAAACACAGAAGTTTTGCTTGAATTACCATCAAACCAAGTCGTATAAAGACATAAGGGACTGACAGTTTTCCATTTATGGATTAGGCACTCGTTATTTTTCTGGCTTTTAACAGCTTTTCAATCTAACTTGTCATTCCAACGTTCTTCCCATTCCAAGATGACAGCAAAATTGGACATAGACCATGCACTTACAGCTGCCCTTCCAGAAACAGTACCTAATGGTTTATGAGGTTATTGGCTTGTGTTTTTTCTAGTAAATTCTTTTAAAAATTCCAGTAAATTGGTTAAGTTCTTGCCTTAAAGAGGAAAAAAAACAGTCAATGTCCTTAATTGTTCTCTCATCTTTTAGGGTGTCCTCTCGTGGGAATGGGCATCATCAGACTTGGCCAAGAGCCCAACATCGCCTGCCTTCCTTTAATGTTGCAAATGTTCCCTCTTCTATTGTTAGAAGACTTTCTGTTCTCGTGGACCTGACTTAGAAAACTTCATTTGGCAGGCGATGTCTGAGGTCTAGGATGCAGCAGGCTCTACCATGCCCCACCCTGGATGCAGCCAGACTCCTCGTTCAGCTCCAGGTTCTTGCTCTCTTTAAAAGGAGCAAAACAAACAAACAAAAACCCAAACAAACAAGAAAACCAAAAAACCAACCAACAAAACCCCAGGAATGCTCACCTCTAATTGGTGGAATAATTTGGGGAGATTTTTATTTTCTTCTCTTTTTTTTTTTCTAGTTCTATCATGCATTTCCCATGGAATATAAAAATTACTACCCTTGCTTTTGTGAGAATCATCCCCCTGTGCTTCCTTCTAATTTTATCACCTACTTACACGTCTCTAAGCAATACACTTTTAGTTTGGCTTATTTTGAAATTCCATTTAGAAATAATCATACTTATGGGCACCTGGGTGGCTCAGTTGGTTAAGCATCTGCCTTCGACTCAGGTCATGATCCCTAAGTCCCAGGATGGAGCCCTGCATCAGGCTCCCTGCTCAGTGGAGAGCCTGCTTTTCCCTCTGCCCCTCACCTCGCTCGTGCTCTCTCTCTCTCTCAAATAAATAAATAAAATCTTAAAAAAAGAAAGAATCATACTTTTAAAAAAGTTTATTAAATAAAGGACAAAAATGTGACAATGCGGAAAGAAGCTGTCTAGAACTACTGTCCGATATAATAGCCCCCAAGCACACGTGTGGCTGTTAGTGCTTAAAATGTGACCAGTCCAAACTGAGATGAGCTGGAAGGACAAAATGCACAGCAGATTTTGAAGACATACTTTAGTCTGAGAGAAGGAATGTGAAATAGCTCATTAATCCTTTTACATTGATTACTTGTTGAAATGTTAATATTTTAGATATACTGCTTTGAATAAAATACATTATCAAAATTAATTTCACCTGTTTCTTTTTGCTTTTTAAATGTAACTACTAGGACATTTTAAATTACACATGTGGCTTGCATTATATTTCTGTTGGATGACGCTGGTCTACGAACTCGCTGAATTCCTTACATTCAAAATCCACAATTCTAAACAAGATTTGATGATTATTGGATATCCACTCCAAGCCACTAGTTTTGCTGTTTCTTTTTTTTTTTTTTTCTTTTTTTCTTTTTGGTTTCCCCTTAGTCTAACTCCTTATGCTACAAAGCTCCTTCAGCATCCCCTGCATTTCTCTCCTACAACTTGGCTACCGGCCAACCAAAATGAACACTGTACCAATTTCTCAGTGCCCTCCACAGGTGGCCGGTGTTCTCATCCTCCAATGCCTCTGGCCTTTCCTGCTTTTTTTCCCACCTCCACTTCTCCTGCCCTCACTGCTAGGACCCCGCTCCTCCACACTCACCCCATTCTTCCATCAAAGACATCCTGGGGCTTACACGTGTCAGATCCTCATGACATCACTCACAGCCAAGTCAAGATTGCAGGAAGACCTTTCACTCTCCATACAGTTAAAGGCTGGACATCTAGTAAAACAAATAAACAAAACCCAAAAAAAACCTCATCATTATTTCTGCTCCACAGCAGATTCTTTTGGAGAGACAGGGGATCCACCCTGGTGCTCCTACAACCACAGAGCGCCATCAGGGAAGATGCGGTGATCTAGAACCCGAAGACCACTCTCTGGTTACGCATGCACCTCCCTGCCCCTCCTCAGCAGACTCTGCCTCCCTGAAGGCCGACCTCTGAACCCAGGGGTTTCCAGGGTTCCCTGGGCAATAATATTCTATAGCAAGAAGTGGATGGTTTGGTTCCTCTTACCTAAGTCTCACTCCCTTCATCAGCAAAACCAGAACAATGGCAGTGCTTACCCCGAGAGCGATGTTAAGCACACTGCCTGGTATTTCTTATTTCAGACAAGCCAAGTTTGTGCAAAGACCGGAACAGCCCCTATGGGGGCATGTTGCGCTCATTTTAATGAATACTTAAATTCCATACCTATTACTTCAGAAAAGTGTGCTCAATTTATTTTGACTTCCCTTGGTTCAGACGTTCTCTCAGTTTCCTCTCTTCCCGGCCGGTTGAGATCGGTTTCCAATGGCAACATGGATGGATGGCAGAGTCACAGCCCAAGCAGGTCTCATTCCAGCTCTCCATCTCCTATTTCTGCTCTGCCCAATATCCTTCCAGATGCTTTCTCAGACCCAACACAAGTGCAAACAGAATCTCAGATCATCCTCTTGCCCACTTTGGAGACCCCACCTCAACCCCTTCATCACCAGAGCATGGAGTCTTATCACTCACTGTCTGAGATCATTCTCCACCCCATCAGGGACCCCACAACCGCACCAGGGAATTTGGCAACACTAGCCACAGGTGGCGATGGAGCTCTTTACCTGTAGCGAGCCCAAATTGGGATGTGCTGAAAAGCGTAAAAAAATACCCAGATTTTGAAGAGTAAGTGCAAAAATTAAAAAGGAATGTAAAATACCTCACTAAAAATTGTTATACTGATTACACATTGAACTGGTATTTTAGACGCATTAGGCTAAGTAAAAATATATTATTAAAATTAATTTCACCTGTTTATTTTGCTATTTTAATGTGGCTGTCAGAACATTTTAAACCATGTATACAGTTTGCGTGACATACTTAGTGGATAGCACTGCATCTCCAATGGTCAGCTTTTGTAGCTTACTACTTTGGGGTAATATCACAGACTTCCTTTCAAACTACTGCAACCAGTAAATCAAACAAATGGCTATTTGTGTGTAAGAATAAAGCAGCCTTATTTTCTTCTCCCATTGTCCCTTAACTTGCTCAGGAGAGATAGTTTTCCCCCCTGCCCCTGGATGAAACTTGCCTTTCTGGTCACTCTTAGGTAACAGAAAATCCTAGAGCCAATTGATTCACAAAACACAATCTGGATTTGTACTTCGAATACCCAACACACATACTAAGAAAAGCTTCCAACTTCAAAGTTTTAAGGACTCACACTTTCCCAACTAGAATGTGTTGTTAAAAGAGAGAAAGCTGCAGTTGGTGGAGGGGACAGGGCTGTCACATTCCTCTTTCCTCCTCTGTCCCTCTTCCCCAACTTGCCAACCCAGGTTTCTGACTCCTCCAGTACAGGAGAGCAGGCTGGGAGAGGGGTGTGGTGCCCTTGAGTGCAGGCTGTGGGCTCCCTGGGCCCCACCAGTGTGTAAAACTGGCTCTTCTCAGACAGATTCCGAGAGGTCTTTTGAAACTTCCCTCTTTGCTAAGGACCACTCACCAGAAACTCCTTTGGTGTGGTTGATGTGTTCTCCTCTAACTTTCTGCTTACTCTTTCTGCAGGCCAGAGGAATCCAGCAATACTTTTAACTTTTCTCTGATGAGGCTTCTTCATTCTTTTTTAAAAGCAGTTTTGACTGAAGTATAACATATACATAAGTGTACCACTTGAAATGTCTCTGAGTAAACGTACGTGCCCCCCACCTGAGGCAACAAGTAGTCCGTTCACTTTTATAATGGCTCCTTTTGGACAAGGTCTAAAATGCCAACCCTTTCTCTGGTGGGGCCACATCAGGTCCCAGAGATGCTCATGCACCCTTTGCCCCCACAAATTCTGGGAGGATGTGCCTAGGATGGGAGCAGCCAGCCCTCCCTCACATCTACTACCAGAGCTGAAAGCAAGCTTTCTGTTTCCTCAGGTATGAATCAGATGCTTGTCCAGCCATCAGCTGACATCAAGGTCCCTGAGCGGACTCAATGTCCCTCCACTTGTTGGGAGGGAGAGGCATCTCTCACCCTTTCCTCTTAGGGATGGCACCAGGACTCAGAGTGTACCGATGATTCTCCCTGAAGATACTCCCTTCAGAATCCCTTATCTCATCTTCACTCCCTGTCGGGGAAGGGGAACCCCACCCAGTTCTCAGCCACTTGCTTTGAACATATTCACCTTGGTCTGATGCCTCACTTGGGGTCTTCAATCACCTTAGGACGTTAGCCGAAACATCCACTCTAATGTCCTGTTTCAGCACCAAAGGCACCAGTCACCTCTTCTCCATTCTCCCCTCCAATCATTAAAGAAAAAGTGGGGGAGACATAATTTCTGCCTCAGTAAAATGTTTACTTCAAGGCCATGGAAATATAGCTTCTACCTTCTTACTAAGTTCTGCTTGCTGTGGGAGATTCAAATGTGCCATCCCCAAGGCCACAGCTCCCATCTGCTGCCACTTACAGTGTGGGACCCAAGCAAGGTAGATGGAGGGTGGCTCTTTGGTTCAAATCCAAGCTCTGCCATCTACTAGCCTCTTGGAGACCTGGTTCCCCAACTGCAACGATACGCCTTGCTTCGCAGGGTGGGGAAGAGCGAGGTTAAGTCATGCTTAATGTGCTTAATGATAACTTTCCATGATTTTTCTGGCTCACAAGCTAGACTCAGTTTTCTTGTCTCTTCTTCCAAATCCCTTCTTAGGTTACTCACTTGTCACATAACTTTCCATTATTATCTTCCACTGGAAACCTTCTCCTGGGTCTAAATAAGGGGAGAGGAGGGATCTAAAACAAGAAATAAGAGAAAATAGTCTAAAAATTGTATTCATTTTTGCATAGGTCAGAGAGCTGGAAAGACCTTGAGATATCATCTCTCTGGTCCTGACCATGGTCATGATCCATGTCAGGTTCCATCTTCTTCACTATCCACATTTGTGAAGGAATATCACTGCTCCTAAAAGTCAGATTCTTCTTCTTCACCAAATATGCAATCTTCCAAGCAGACTCACTTAAAATTATACCGCCCCCAAAAGGACTGAAACATGGGTATAGTTTATACAGCACTTTGAACTTGCAAGAAGTCCTTTCTCTTCTAATATAGAACCCTCACACTGTTATTTGTTCCTTTGTTTTTTAAGCAAGATGAAAGGCCTCACAGTCATCTGCTCCTACCACTGATTGACTTGCTTCTCAAAGAATTGCCACCATCCTCAACTTCTTGGGGCTGCTTCTCAGACATGGCAGGCAATCTGCAGATGCAGCAGAATAGCTGAGCAAACAATGGGGAGGCCGTTACAGGAGCAGACAGGATGCAGTGCCTGGCATCTGCTACAGGACAGGGAATGTGTTCTAAGGCTGCCCAGCCTACTCTGGAATCTCACACATGTTTTCTGAAGTTTATGCCTGGATAATCCCATTGTAATGGGAAAAAAATGGTGGCTGTGATGGGTCTATTCCCTCAGCTC